TTTCTCAATTAAATTGCCTTTGCTTTTTTGTTGAAAAGTGTAAGTCTACTTCTGAACTCTATTGTATTGAATTAATCTATTTCACTACCCTTTTGTCAATATTAATCTTGTTTTGATTGTAGTCTTGAAATCAACATGAATCCTACAATGTTGTTCTTTCTCAAAATTGTTTTGGCTATTCTAGCTTCTTTGTTTTTCCATGTAGAACTAGAATTCGTTTGCTGATTTCTATGAAATTCTGCTATGATTTTGATTAGAGAGAACTGACATCTTAACAATATTTAGTCTCCCGATCCATGAACATGGACTATATTTCCATTTATTAAATCTGCTTTGATTTCATCAGTATTTTACAGATTTCAGCATAAATGTTATGCACATGTTTCGGTAGATTTATACTTAAGCATTTCATGTTATTTAGTACCATTGTACATGGTGATGCATTTTAAACATTTAATTTTCAATTGTTCATGCTAGTTTGCTTTATGAATTCCATTTAATTTCTGATGACTTCCAGCTATCTTAGATTCATGATTTATATATTCTGGTTATTAATGAATGTTTGCAGCTGTTTCTCCTCATTTTGAATTGTGCTCCATCACCAAATGAAGGTCTTAAAAGCTTAACTCCACCCATGAAATTAAGGTCAGCTCTACTTGGAGGAAGAAGCTCTTCCCCAGTTGTGTTTTGATTGGCTTCCAACCTGAGTGGTTCATCTTCTGGCACTATATCAAACAATGTTCCAATGCTATTCATAAGATATTCTGTGGCTAACCATTCATACCACCAGATTGTCATACTGTGGTGGCTTGAGTGCAGCTGTGATTCTGGAAGCTATGCCACAGATATTTTAAATACTAGTAGGGTTACTCACAGAGTCCTGGTGTGGCACTGTGGGTTAATGTGCCAGACTGCAAAGCCGTTTGAACTGTAAGGTTGGAGGTTCAAGCTCACCAGCTGCTCCTCGGAAACCCTATACAGGGTCGCAATGGGTCAGAACTGACTCAACGGCACTTAACAACAAAGGGTTATTCACAGTGAACAGGTTTCAGGGGAACTTCCAGACAAAGACAGACTAGAAAGGAGACTACAGAACAAAGCTCTGGGAATGGATGGAATACTAATTGAAATCTTTCAATAAAGTGATGCAGCACTGGAGACACTCACTCATCTATGCCAAAAAATTTGGAAGAAAACTACCTGGCCAACTGACTGGAAGAAATACATATTTGTGCCCATAGCAAAGAGAGGTGGCCCAATGGAATGAGGAAATCACTGGACAATATCATTAACATCCCATGCAAGCAAAATTTTGCTAACGATAATTTAAAAATGGCTGCAACTATACATTGACAGAGAAATTCCAGAGGTTCAAGGTGGATTTGGAAAAGGACAATTACAAGGGATATCACTGACGTCAGATGGACCTTGGTTGAAATCAGAGAATACCTGTGCTTTATTGACTATGCAAAGGCTTTCAATTGTGTGGATCATGACAAGCTGTGGACAGCATTGTGGAGAATGAATATTCCTGAACACTTGTGTTCATGAGAAACCTGTACATGGACCAAGAGGCAATTGTTCGAACAGAACAGGGAACACTGAATGATTTAAAATTAGGAAAAGTGTGTGCCAGGGTAGTATCCTTTCACCATACTTATTCAATCTGCATGCTGAGCAAATAATTCCAGCTGATTATATGAAGAAAAACATCGCATCAGGATGGAAGAAATACTCATTAATAATCTGTGCTATTTGGATGATATAACTTTGCTTGCTGAAACTGAAGAGGACTTAAAGTACTTACTGATAGTGATCAAAGACCACAGCCTTAGGTATGGGTTGCCTCTCAATGTAAAGAAAACAAAACCCCTCACCACTGGACCAATACACCACATCCATATAAATGGAGAAAAGATTGAAGTTATCTAAAATTTCATTTTGCTCAGATCAACCATCAACACTCACGGAAGCAGCAGTAAAGAAATCAAACGACATATTGCATTTGGCAAATGTGCTGCATAAGACCTTTTTAAACTGTTCAAAAGCATAGATGTCAGCTTGAGGACTAAGGTTCACCTGACCCAAGCCACGGCCAGACCAAGCAGTGTTTCATCCTGTTGTGCATACGGTCGGTCGCTGTAAGTTGGTACCGACTTGATGGCACCTAGCAACAACAACAACAACAACCATTCATAATTTGTCTGTCTCTTTTTCTTTGTAGTCTGTCTTAGTCTGGAATCTCCGCTGAAAGCTGTCCACCATGGGTGACCCTGCTGATATTTACGAACTGGTGACATAGCTTCCAGTATCGCAGCAACACACAATCCACCACAGTACAACTCATTGACAGATGAGTGGTGGCTGGCCCTTGTCTGGTTCTTGTTTGCAAGGGGAATGCATTTAGTCTCTCTGTTGAGAATAATGTTGACCATTTATTTGTGTATATGCCATTAATTATGTTGAAAAGTTGCTCCTCTACTCCTATTTTGCTGAGTGTTTTTATCAGGAATGGACGCTGACTTCTGTCAAGTCCCTTTTTCTGCAGCAATTGATATGATCATATGCTTCTTTTTATTTATGTACCAGATTACATTGATTGTTCTTCTAATATTGAACCATCCCTGCATACCTAGAGTAAATCCCATTTGGCCAAAATATTTTTTTGTTTTGTTTATATTTTTATGTTGTTGGATTCTACTGGTTATGGGTTTTTTGAGAATTTTGCATCAGTGTTCATGGGGAATATTGGTCTATAACTTTGGGGATGCTAACCTCAAGGTCGGCACTTCGAAACTACCAGCTGTTCCCCGGGAGAAAGATGAGGCTTTCTGCTCCCATAAAGATCTGCAGCCTAGGAAACCCTGTGCAGGGTCACCATGAGTCAGTACAGACTCCATGGTACATAACAACAACAACATCTTTGTCTGATTTTGGTAACGGGGTTATGCTTGCTTTGTAGAATGAGTTCAGGTATATTCCATCCTTTAATATGTCTGGAATAGTTTAGTAGAATCAGTGTCAGCTCTTGTCTGAATGTTTGCTTGACTTCACGGAAGCTGTCTGAGCCAGGATTTTTATTGTCTGTGTGATGGGTCAGTTTGGATTTCCCACCCCATGCTGTGTGTCTTGAGTAGGTAGTGTGTTTCTAGAAACTTGTCCATCAAAATTTGTTGAAGTACCATTCTTCATAGTATTCTGTTATTATCCTTTTTAATTTAGTAGGTTCTTTTGTGATAGTGCCTATTTCATTTCTTATTCATTCTATTGCATCTTCTCCTTTTCCTTTGTTAAATTTGCAGTGGTTTGTCAATGCTGTTAAAGAACAAACCTCTAGTCTTATTGATCCTATTGTTCTTCTGTTTTGTTTTATTTCTGCTCCAACATTGATTTCCTTCTTCTAATAACTGAAGCCTTTTTGTTGTTTTTATTGTTATTCTTTTTCTAATTGTTGGAGATGATGAGTTATTTGTTAATTTTGGTCCTTTCTGCTTTTTTTGAGCTGTGAAATTATTGGAATAAATTGTCCCTTAAATACTAGTTTTGCTGTGTCATAAAGATTTTCATTTGTTGTGTTTTCATTTTTATCTCAATCAAGACATTTTTTCTTTAAGCAGGGTATTATTCAGCTTCCATGTATTTGATTTTTCCCTCTTGATCTTCTTGTTTATTTCAGTTTTATAACATTTTAATCTGAGAAGATGCACTTTGTAGTATTTCAGTTATTTAAAATTTATTGACGTTTGCCTTTTTGGGTTAATATATGATATATTCTGAAGAACATTTTCTGTGTGCTGGAAAAGAATGTATATTGTTGTTGTTGGGTGGAGTGCTCTGTATACATTTATGAGATCTGGTTGGTTAATTGTGTTGTTTAAATCTTATGTATCTCTGTGGAGTTTCTTTCTAGTTCTGTCCATCAAAAGTGTTAGTTATTATTGTTGAGGTGTCTATTCTCATTTCAATTCTTTTAAACTTGCATTTGTGTATTTGGGGGCTCTTTTATTGGATGCAAAGATATTTATTATGATTATGTCCTCTTATTGTATTGGTCCTTTAATAATTCTATAATGTCCTCCCTTGTTTCTTTTGCTGATTTTTGCTTTAAAGTCAATTTTATATGAAGTAACTACTGCTACTCTTGTTCTTTTTTAATGTTGCTATTTACTTGATATATGTTTTTCCATCCTTTGATTTTTGGAGTCCTCGTGTGGTGTTGTGCTGTAGGATAAGCATTGGGTTGTTAACTGCAAGATTGACAGTTCAAACCCACCAACCACTCCTCAGAAACCCTATGCAGGATTGCCATAAGTCAAAATTGACTTGGGTTCTTTACAATACCTGCCTTCTCCTTATTTATGTTGCTATACCTAGCAACTACTGATTGCTGTGTTGGGAGTCCTGATGCGGCGCTGTGGGTTAAAATGTGCCAGACTGCAAAGACCGGGCAGTTGCACGGTCGGTAGTTCAAGCTCACCAGCCACTCCTCGGAAACCCTATACAGAGTCGCTATGTGTCGGAACCGACTCGACGGCACTTCATAACAACAACTGTGTCAGGTACACTGACTGGAGATCATAGACTCTTAGCCATGTTGTAAATAAATGTTCGGAATTAGAACTTTAGAATTTCAGCGGAGACGTCCTTTTAAACAAAAGGCATGGGGGTTGGATTAGCCACTAACGGTTAAAAAAAAATCTCAAGAGTAAGGGGTTTACTAGATTGCTTTCTATTGAGTAGTAGAAACGAACTTGCCTTCCTTAGCTGAAAAATATCCAAGGTGAGATTTCAGAACAGGCTATAACTCAAAAAGTAGTTCACGGGCAATGCACAACAATAGAGGTAGCGGCTATCACCGCCAGGTACCGTAGCTCCTCCCAAGTTTCTCCTCGCTTTCAGGAAGGAGAGCGCTGGAGTAGGGACGACTGCGCGCTCAGGATGTGGCAACTCTCGCGGGAAGATTTGTGGTTGCCTTGGAAACCACGTCGCGGTCCTAAAAGATGGCGGGGCGAAGTGTTGGTCAGAGGGTGGGTTCAATTCCGGAGATCTATGTAGCCGCTAGTCTTCAGGAGGGCTAGAGGGACGCCAAACTCTAATTTCTGGTCTGAAAGTCTTTGTCTCTTTTTCAGAGACGAAGCGTCCCAGGGACTCCGCTCCCATCACGCGTTTACAAAACGACTACACTTCGACCGGACCTCCTCGCCAAGGAGGAAGAATATAAGTAAGAAATTCGGCCCCAGTTGATCTTTTCCTTTATCCTTACACCGAAATGTGGCTGCTTACATTTTTTTTTTTTTTTAAAAAGACAGGCTGAATCACTGAAGTTTCAGTGATTTAGTCATTTAGTCGACATTCCTAAGCCACCACCCCGCTTTCAAAGTTTTTTTCTTTCTTTCACAGGAATAGCTTGCTCACTTAGTAGAAGATACTAAGTTCGTCAGCAAGATGCTACTGTTGGATGAGATTTGGGTATCAGGAATTGCCAAGAATAGTTTAATTTGGAGTTTAGGACATTCGCTTAATTTCAATTCCTGAATAGACGCTGTAGGGGGAAACTATGGATTGCTAACTGCAAGGTGGTCAATTCAAACCCGCCAGCCGCTTGGAAACCCTATATAGGGTCGCCATGAGTCTGTACTGACTCTACTTACGTATGTAAATTTATTTTAGGCTTGGTTTCTAAATCCGAAGTGTGTTTCCTGGTGTAACCATCAATCGTTAATACCCAAGGTAACTAAAGCATAGAGATGAAATTGTTTGTGCAAGTGACTATTTTGTTATTAAATGCCGTTGAGTCGGTTCTGACTCATAACGACCCTGTATAGGGTTTTGGAGGAGAGGCTGGTGGGTTTGAACCGTCAACCTTGTGGTTAGTGGTCCAGTTTATTCTACAGGACCACACCAGGACTAATAAATAGCTAGTTAATGGCAGCGTTGCAACTAGAATACTGGTCTTTTGACTTCTCTCCAGCCATCCTTCCATTTCCCTGCAAGTGCAACAGGACCACGTTAGGTATTATTAGAAGCAAAATTGGAGCACTGGTGTGGAAGTGCCAAATCTTCCATAGTTTCTCGTTTGCTCTTGAACAGTTGCTTACTCACTTGTAAAATGAGAAGGTTGGCTGGTGATCTGAAGGATTTCTTCCAGTTCCAGCCTTCTGTGATTCTATTCTTAATGAGCCTAAATGTGTAGAGGTCCCTGGAATGAACTATTCTCATCTTCATTTGGTGGAGTTGGAAGAAGGGTTTCCTTTGCTATCTTTCAGGGTAGTTATTCCTGTCCTGACAATACTTGCCTTTATTCTTGGCCCATACAACTTCTCAGCCCCCAGTTTTCACATAGCTTCTAGAGTAATCTTTTAATTTGACCACAACATTCCTTTGCTTAAAGTCTGTAGTAGTTTTCTGTTACACTTCAAAAGCTATAGCAGTTCTGGCACCTGCCTACTCTGCTGTTTGATCTTGTGTGCTTACTATTATCCATCTTCACCGGCCTTTTAGTCCCTCAAGCTGTTTCCTGCCTTTTCCTTGAGGCCAACCACACATGCCTTCTACCTGTAATGCCCAGAGTTTCCTTCCTTGGCCTTGCTGTTATTCTTTTTTACTGAATTGTATTAATTTTTCTTTGAAATTAACATAATTTGTTATTATAAATTCATTGCTCTTTTACTTGTTTTTTTTTGTTTGTTTGTTTGTTTGTGGCCTCCACAGGACTGTGGTGAATTTCACAGGGGAAGAGACTATGTTTGTTTCTCTTGACATTGGTGTGGTAGGATCAGCCCTGGCCTGCTAACCATAATAAGGTCAGCAGGTCAAACCCACCAGCTGCTCCTTGGAAACCCTATTTGGGGTCGCTATGAGTGGGAACCTACTTGATGGCACTTAACAACAACAATAACCTTACAAAAGGAGCCCTGGTTACTCAGTTATAACAGTTCTTCTGTCCTATTTGGTTGCTGTGAGTTGGAACTGAGTCAATAATAGTGGATTTGACTTTGGTGTATATTGTTGTTGTTATGTGCCGTGGAGTCGGTTCCGACCCATAGCGACCCTGCACAGGGTTTCCGAGGCTGTAAATCTTTATGGGAGCAGAACGTCTCATCTTTTTCCCGCAGAACCGCTGGTAGTTTCGAACTGCTGACCTTGTGGTTCACAGCCCAATTCGTAACCACTATGCTACCAGAGCTCCTTTGGTGTATATACTTACAGAAAATATATTTTAATGTCCCCTCTTCTTTGTAGTTTAAAATAAAGTAGCTAGTTTCATTTACATTATGGAAAATAGCCTGGCAGTTCCTCTGCTGGTAAAGCATAATTACAAATGGTCTGTATTTAAAATAGAAATATATTTCAAAGTACAACCGAATGATTTTAAATGAACTAGTGAACTAGACATATGCTAACTTTCCATGATATGTAGGAAGATAATCATCCTACTTTATCTGATAAACAGGGCCTGTTGCTCTAGTTCAAGAGTACTGTGAAGAATTGAATTTATTGTTCAAATTCACAAACCAAAATGATTATTTTTATTATCGTTCACTGTTTTATTAGGTGCTGTCAAGTCCGTTCCAACTCATAGTGACCCTATATACAACAGAACCAAACACTGCCCAGGCCTGCGTCCTCCTCACAATTGCTGTTTGAGCCCATTGTTGCTGCCACTGTGTCAGTCCATTTAGTTGGGGGTTTTCCTCTTTTTCTCTGATCTTTCACTTTACCAAGCATGACATCCTTCTCCAGGAACTGATCCCTCCTAGCAAGTCCAAAATATGAGAGACAAAATCTCACCATCCTCACTTCTAAGCAGCATCCTAGCTGTATTTCTTCCAAGATTTGTTGTTCTGGCAGTCCATGGTACTTCAGTATTCTTCAACACCATAATTCAGATGCATCAATTTTTTACAGTCTTCATTGTCCAACTTTCACATACATTTGAAGCTATTGAAAATATCATGGCTTGGGTCAAGTGCACCTTAGTCTTCAAATTGATGTCTTTGCTCTTTAACACTTTAAAGAAGTTTTTGTTTTCTTTACATTGAGGTACAGTCCATACTGATCTTCATCAGTAAGTATTAAGTGCTCTTTGCTTCCAGCAAGCAAGGTTGTGCCATCTGCATATATTGTTGTTTTTAAGTGCCATTGAATCAATTCCAACTTAGTGACCTGGAATAGGAATCCCGAGGCGCGGCAGGTGAATTTGAACCACTGGGAATTTGCAGTTCCCAGTACATTATCTCACAGTGCCACACGAGGTTGAAATGAGTCTGTCTCCAGCCCTGATGCCCCTTTTTTCTTCATATAATCCAGCTTTTTATTATTTGCTCAGCATACAGATTGACCTCAGCAATGATATCCCTTGTTCCACATCCTTTTTTGAATCTGGCTTGAATTTCTGGCAGCTCCCTGTTGATGTAGTGTTGCAAGTGTTTTTGAATTTTCTTTAGCAAAATTTTACTTGCATGTGATGTTAATGATACTATTTGATGATTTTTGCAATCAGTTGGATCACATTTCTTTGGAATGGACACAAATATGGATCTCTTTCAATTGGATGACCAGGCAGCTGTTAAAAATTTCTTGGCATAGACAAATGAGCACCTCCAGTGTTATATCAGTTTGCTGAAACATTTCAATCTGTACTTTGTCAATTCCTGGAACCTGGTTCTTGCCAATGCCTTCAGTGAAGCTTGGACTTCTTGCTTCTGTACTATCAGTTCTTGATCGTATATTACCTCTTGAACCGGTTGAACATCAGCCATTTCTTTTTAATACAGTGATTCTGTATCCGTATCTTCTATTGTCTTGTTTTGATGCTTTCTGCATCATTCAATATTTTGTCTGTTGAATCCTTCACTACTACAAGTTTAGGCTTGAATTTTTTCTTTAGTTCTTTCAGCTTGAGAAATGCTTAGCATGTTCATCTCTTGGTTTTCTAGATCCAGGTCTGCAGATTTCATTCTAATACTTGACTTTGTGTTCTCAAACTGCCCTTTGAAATTTTCTGTTCACCTCTTGTATTTCCTCATTTCTCCAGTCACTTTAGCATTCAAAAGCAAATTTCTGAGTTTCTTCTGACATCCATTTTTGTCATTTCATTCCTTCCTGTCTTTTAAATATCCTATTGCTTTCTTTCTGTTTAATGTTTTGGATGTCATACCAAAACTCTTGTACTCTTTGGTCATTAGTGTTTAATGCATCAAATCTGTTCTTGAGATGGTCTCTAAATTCAGGTGGAATATATTCAATTTTGTGGATTCCTGGTGTGATGCTATAGGATAAGCACTGGACTGCATACCAAAAGGTAGGCAGTTCAAACCCACCATCTGCATCCACCAACAGGGTTGCTATGAGTCAGAATCTACTTGACAGCACTTAACAACAACAACATATTCAAGGTCATACTTTGGCTCTTGTGGACTTGTTTTAATTTTCTTCAGCTTCAGTCTGAACTTGCATATGAGCAACTGATGGTCTGTTCCACAGCCTGTTCCTGTCACTAGAAAGCATTTAGTGCCTTCATTGTTAAGGGTAATTTATTGAATTATTTGAGAGTTTATTTTGCACCTAAGGAGCTCTCGTAGTGTAGTGGTTACGAGTCAGGCTGCCAACCTCAAGGTCAGCAGTTCGAAACTACCAGCAGTTCCATGGGAGAACGATGAGGCGTTCTGCTCCTGTAAAGATTTACAGCCTCGGAAACCCTATGCAGGGTCACTATGAGTCGGAACCGACTCCACAGTACTTAACAACAACAACAACAACATATTTTGTACCTAGTTCTGGTGGCTCATTAGGGATATCATCCCAAAGACAGACATCTACAGATGCTATTCTAGTCTGCAGTTGTTGTTGTTAAGTACCATATAATAGGTTCCAACTCAAAGCGATTCTTTATATGATTTGTGAGGAGCAACTAGTGGGTTTGAACTGCCGACCTTGTGGTTTACAGTCCAGTGCTAATCCTACAGTGCCACACCAGGAGTCTATTTTCTAGTGTACTAGGAGTTGTTTTATGATTAAGTGGTCCTTTGTTACTTGTGCTCTGAGACTGGTGAACAGAACAGCACCTTGGCTCTCCCTGAAGCTTACAGAGAGCTTCCATGGCATGCAGAAGTTAAATGTCTGGCTAGTCATATAGGCAAGAATGGAAGTTCATTAAAGAGTATCTGTTTTGCCACCTTTTGTCTTGGTATTCAAGCAGATGGGAGATCTTTTCAATTAGCAGAACACAGTACTTCCCAGGGACCTCACTCCAGAACTGTCTACATTTTAGCTACTGTCAAGTGGTTGGAAGATCACTATTTGGGAGCATAGACTAAGGAACATGCCAGTTACCCAAATCAACAGATATTTCAGTCTTCCTACCTGTATTTTGACATTAAAAGCAAAGCAATAAGATTATGTAATGTCAGTTTTAATTGATTTTGGTAACTGATGTATGAGACAAGCGCCTACTCCCATACATCTTGAAAAGTCTTGTTTCTGTTGGATTTATAGATTACTTTGCTTTATTTATCTTTGCTTGTAAAATAAATGACCTATTAACATAAATTTACTCTAATTATTCTCATGTTTTAAACCTTGACTGTATCCATGTATACTCTCTCTTGGAGGAGTGCTTGTATTATTTTTGCCTTCTTTTTCTCTTATCAGTCTTGCTGAGAGATTTGTTTATTTTATTGATATTGCCTGAGAACTAGCTTTTGAGTTCTTGCTAATCTCTTTATGTTATTTTTTTATTCCATTGGTCTTCTCTTTATTACTCCCAACTCTTATAATTGTGAATTAGAAGAGCCAGAAATAATTTTTTAGGTTCTGAGTTTAATACTTAGATCATTTATTTTATTTTTCTGATTTTTTAGTGAATACATTTAAGTCTATAAAATACTCTTCAGCTATAGTATTAGCTGTATTTTAGGACCTGTTCTGAAATGCATTATTTTGTGGTTATTTCTAACTACTTAGATTTTCATAGTGATTATTTAGGAGTGTGCATTTTAGATGAAAAAATGAGGCTTTTGTTTACTTATTGTTTCTTTTTATTATTATTATTTTTTGTATTTTAAAGTTTATTTTTAATTTCCCTCTGGTCAGAAAATATATCTCATAAACATTTTTAAATGTTTTTGGGATTTTTTTTGTGTATGTGTCCAAGTAAATAAATTGTAAATATTCTGTATGTTCTTCAAATGAAAGTATATTTACTATTTGTTGATCAATCTAATAAGTCAGACTAATTAATTTTGTTAATCATAACATAAGTCTCTGCCATTTTTTCTACTAGCTTTGTTAGTTTCTGTTAGAAGTGTATTAAAATCATCGACTATAATTATAGTTAAAATTTTTTTTCTCATTATAAGTAAGTTACCTTTTGTTTGGAGGATATTGTTGATTGTAATGTGTCCCCCCAAAATACAAGTTAACTTGGCTAAGCAGTGATTCTCAATATTAGGTAATTATCCTCCATTTTGTGATCTGATGTAATTATTTTGTGTTGCTAATCTTACCCTCTATTTAATGAGGTAGGATTAAAGGCAATTATGTAAATGAGGCAGATACAATCTATAGCATAAATTACATCTTGAGTCAATCTCTTTTGAAATGTAAAAGATTAAACATGTGAGGCACCTCAATACCACCAAGAAGGGCCAGAAGCAGAGCACTTATTAATGAAAATCAAAGACCACAGTCTTCTATATGGATTACACCTTAACATAAAGGAGATAGAAATCCTCATACATGGACCAATAAGCAACATCATGAAAAATGGAGAAGATTGAAGTTGTCAAGGATTTCATTTTTACTTGAATCCACCATAGTCCACAATCATGGAAGTATCAGTCCGGAGATCAAAGGACATACTGCATTGCGCAAATCTGATGTAGAGGATTTCTTTTAAGTGTTAAAAAGCAAAGATGTCACTTTGAATACAAACACATAGCTGACCCAAGCCATGGTATTACCAGTCACTTCATATGCATGTGAAGGAGTCCTGATAGTATTGTGGGTTATGCACTGGGTTGCTAAATGCAGGGTCAGCAGTTCAAATCTACCAGCTGCTCCATGGAAGAAAGAGGAGACTTTTTTCTTCCATAAAGATTTACAACTGGAAATTCTATACAGTGAGTTGGAACTGACTGTGTGGTATACAGTAGCAGCATATGCATATGAAAGATGGACAGTGAATGTGGAAGACCAAAAGAATATGATGTTGGTAAAGAATATTAAATATGCCACAAATCGCCATAGTAACATCTGTCTTTGAAGAAGTACAGCCGGAATGCTCATTAGAAGCAAGGATGGCGAGATTTCGTTTCACATATTTTGAACATATCATTAAGAGGGACCAGTCATTTGGGGGGTGGGGGCTAGCAACAGTAACACTAGTAGTGAGGTATGCATACTATAAGGAGCTCTGGTAGCGTAGTGGTTACGAATCGGGCTGCGAGCCACAAGGTCAGCGGTTCGAAACTACCAGCTGTTCCGTGGGAGAAAGATGAGGCTTTCTGCTCCCGTAAAGATTTCCAGCCTCAGAAACTGTACAGAGTCACTATGAGTCGGAACCAACTTCACGGCACATAACAACAACAACAATGCACACTATAGAATGGTCAACCATTTGAGATCAAAAGGGCAGCATTTGCCTAAGGACAAAGTTCAAAAGTGTTGGGAAAGAAGGAGGAATGGAAACGAACACAGGAGGAAAGTGGAATAGGTGATACCAAGAGGAAGAGTAGAGTTGAGTTGGACCCATCCAGTTTACTCTTTCCAAACTTATTGGTCAGAAAAGGCATTCCTCCAGAAAGAGTAAAAGGCCAGAGAAGGCCAGGATTTATACTGTTTGGTTTCTAATTCAGGGAAGGAAAACTCCAGGGGAAGTGGAGAATAATAGTTATGCCAATTTTAGAGTAAAAATATGATGCGTATGTTTTGGCATTTGCTGAAGAGATCAGTTGCTAAAGTGTAGTTACTGAAACTTAATTATTTTCACTTTTGTTAAATCTTCAGTGTACCCTAGTTAATAAACCTTTATGCTTTTAGGCGTTTAAATGCAGAGTTGGAGGCAAAGACAGCTGACCTGGTTCGCCAAGCTGAGGAAATAATAGTAAGTAAATGTACAATTGTTAGTAATTTAATGGAAATGTTAAAGAAAACATTATGAATAACATCCATACAAAAAAGCCCTGCTAACCAAAAGAGCAATAGTTTGTGCTTACCAGCAGCTCCATAAGAGAAAGATGTAGCAGTTTGCTTTCATAAAAATTGTGGGGTTTTTTTGTTGTTATGTTCTCTGGTAGCGTAGTGGTTACAAATCGGGCTGTGAACCGCAAGGTCAGCAGTTCGAAACTACCAGCTGCTCCGCGGGAGAAAGATTAGGCTTTCTGCTCCTGTAGAGATTGACAGTCTCGGAAACCCTGTTCAGGGTCGCTATGGGTCGGAACCGACTCGACAGCACTTAACAACAACAAAACAATGTTCTGTAAAGTATATTTCTATTTATAGTGACCGTATATTACAGAGTCGAATTACTCCATATGTTTCCTAGACTGTAATCTTTATGATGTGTAATCACCTCATATGCATACGAAATCTGGACAAAGAATAAAGAAGACTAAAGAACTGATGACTTTGAGTTATGGTTTTGGCAAAGAATATTCAATATTCCATGGAATGCCATGATAACCAACAAATCTGACTTGGAGGAAGCACAGCTAGAATGCTCCTAAGAAGTGAGGATGGTGAGATTTGGTGTCACATACTTTGGACATGATATCATGAAGAATCAATTCCTAGAGAAGGCTATCGTGCTTGGTGAAGTAGAGGAAGACCCTCAACAAGATGGATTGACACAGTGACTGCAACAGTGGGCTCATACACAGCAGCAATTGTGAAGATTGTACAGAACTGGGCAGTGTTTCATTTTACTCATACATAGTGATTCTAAGAGTTGGCAATAACGCGACAGCACATAACAACAGTAACAGCAGTCTTTACAGGAGCAGACTGCCCGTTCTTTTATTCTGTGGAGCCACTAGTGGGTTCAAACCACTGACCCGTCAACTAGCAGCCAAGCTCTTCACTGTTACATCATCAGGGCTCCTTTCTGTCAAGATTACAGCCTTGGAAACGTTATGGCGCAGTTCTACTGTGTCTTGTAAGGTTGTGACTTGGTAGCAATGGGTTGCTTTATGGTTTATACATACAAAAAAAAGTACCAAAAATCTAAATATTTAGTTTAATGAATTATCACAAACTCAGTATGAATATACATTTATATGGTTGATTATGATTTTGGTATGTATACATTTTCTAAAAGCTGCTGAAAAACTTTTCTATTTACATGCTCCATTTGTCTAATAAATATGAACATTAATATCAATAAAGGAGCTCTGGTGGTTGGAATCAACTTGATGACACCTAAAAACAACAATATTTTGTAATTCTTCCAATTACTATAAGATTAATCTTTGAGAGTAACTGTGTAGAGTTAACTTTGTAAGGATAGAAGTACAATGGTCTCCAGATGAAAGTTGAATACATGGTAATAGTCTTCATTAATATACATACGATAATTTCTTTCTTGCCCTCCACAGATGGGTATAACTCAGATTCTTAGGGTAGCCCAGAATCATACTTGTACTCAGGGAAAATGTAGTGAGGTTTTATCACCAAATGTATCCAGACATGCTTTACCCCATCCTGGGGAGCAAGGTGGGTAATCCAACTTTAAGATCACCATTCGTATTGTTAGTAGATGGGCTATAGTTGTTGTTTTGTTAAGTGCCTTCCAGTCGGTTCTGGTAGCAACCTGATAAACCACCAAACTTCCGGTTCAAACTGACCTTGTGGTCCAGTTCTTGTCTTACAGCATAAAGGAATAAAGGGGCTACTTTAAAACTCTTCCCATTCTTTTCCATGATTAGATTATAATTCCTCTTCTAAACTCTAAAAACTAAATAAAATGGAGGGAAGAAAATCTAGACAATATTCTATTGTCATGATATCTATGCAACCCTGGCGGGAGCTCAGTGGCTCTGTGGGATAAGCATTGGACTATAAACTACAGTGTCAGCAGTTTGAGCCCACCACCTGCTCTGCGGTAGAAGGATGAGGCTTTCTGCTGCCGCAAAGATAATGTATAGCATTGGACGGTTCCAAGTGGCACTAAAAAACAACAAACCACAAAAAGTGGGGTCCTGGTGTGGTGCTGTCAGATAAACACTGGACTGGTACCACAAGGTTCCTAGTTTAAAACCACAAGCAACTCCTTGGAAACCCTAAACAGCGTTACTAAGAGTTGGAACCAACTTGATGACACTTAACAACAGCAATGATATGTAATTATTTGTTGTTTGAAGAGTAAGAAATTTATCATGTAACATTTCAAGTAATATAGTTAGGTAATGTTACAGATTTGCTAGTTGAATTTATAATTAAGGATGTTATTAAAATATGTTTTTTATTCTGTCTTTTAATTTCTGCCAGTGTCCAAAGAACAAGCAAATACTTGAAAAAAATCCAACATTATAGTAAAACTAGAGATCAATGATATATTTAGGTTGAATGTACCCTTAAAAAAATATTTTTCCTGAAATACAGCAGAGTAGAAAACTAGGAGGAGTTCTGGTGTGGTGCTGTAGGCTAAGCACCAGACTACTCACCTCAAGGTCGGTGGCTCGAACCTACAGTGGCTCCTCAGAAACCCAGTGTGGGGTTGCTATGAGTCCAAACCGACTTGATGACACTTAACACCAATAGAAAACTAGAAAGAGCTAGAAAAGGCAAGGGGGTACTCCCACCCCTGCAGAAGCTGACTGAATATAACTTCTTCATGTTGAATTTTTGTTTAATCATTATTTATTTCCTGATATAACTCTACCAAAAGTCTTTACCCCTGGTGCCTCATTTTTAGCATCTTCATGGTATTCTTAACATTGAAGCTTGCCTATTTTGAGACATGTTTTTCTATGCTCTAATGGGTTTCTTTTACTTATTTTTTTAAATTTCTTGTGAGGTTTTCTAATTTCCTCTGCATATTACATAAAATGGAAGACTCCAATGTAGTAGGGAAGCAGGAGTCTGATAATATCATATGAAGGCATTGACACTCATATTTTCCCAGAAAGTTGACTTTTCTTAGCCCATAGGTAATGGAAGGTAAAACTGAAATTACATCATGGCATGTAGAATTCTATGACTCCATGTCCTAGAAACCAAGGACAACTCAGATATGATTCATAGCAGAAAGGGACATGGGTATACCCACCCGAGTTGTATAACTTTTCTGTATTATAAATGCCTTATCTTTCCTCATTTAACTAGCGAGAGCAGCAGGAGGTACAGTCTAAGCCTATTTCACAAATCAAATGCCACGAAGAGGAGGAGGATCAGAATTTAAGGTAAGTAACTGAAATGCTCAAATACTATTCATTTTCTTTTTTTTTTAAATGTGGATTTTTAAAAAATTATTTAAAATCTTTTTACATGTAAATGTTAGAAATCTATAATTTGAAGAATAGGGTAACATGTAAAATAATAATAATTGAAGACTTTGGGAGTCCTGTCATGACACTGTAGGATAAGCACTGGACTGCTAATGACAAGGTTGGTGGTTCAAACCCACCCCATACAGGGTTGCTATGAGTTGGAACTGACTTGACGGCACTTAACAACAATAAAATCTTAGTCAGACACCATTGCAAGACTTGTACCCACTTTATCTCATTTAATTTTCAAAGTATTGCTTTGAGATAAGTATTATTTTCCTCATTTTTAGGATGAGGAAACTGCAGCTTAGAAAGGTTTAATAGCTTGCCCGAGGACATGTAGGTAATATGTCATTTCACTGAGATTCAAACTACAATTGATATGTTTTCTATATCATACTATGTTGTTGTTAAGTGCC